GAGAGGAGGGCGAGGGAAGATGGGGGAAGAGGAGGGGAGGAGGAGGAGGGGGGGAAACGAGAAGGGGACGTGTCGGGATGGACGGGCAGGGCATGCGGGGAAGCGGGGCGGGAGAGAGGAGAGGGAGGGCGGGCGGGGAGCGAGCGTGGCACCCACGAGAGGAGAGGGCAGGCCGGCGGCGCCTGGGGCGGCTAGAGGACGCCGAGGGCCACAGGGCGCGGCCTGGGGGGAGGCGACGCTCTTCTAAGGGGGCCACGTGCGAACCCTGCCCCTACCCCCCACGAGTTCTGAGGGGGAGGGTGGGGTTCACCTCGCTCGGGAGCTCCTGAATCAAGTGAGCCCCGCCCTCCCCCTCAGAAATCGTGGGGGGCAGGGGTAGGGTTCGCATGTGGCCCCCATATCTTCCTCATCCTCAGAATGATAGCATCATCCACAGCAGCATCAGCAGCAGCAGCACAATCATCGTCTTCGTAAGCATAAGCATGATCACCACCATCGTCATCATCAACGTCATCATGAACATCATCATCATCATCATCCTCATCATCATCATCATCATCATCATCATCATCAGCAGCAGCAGCATCATCATCACCGTCAGCATCATTGTCATCGTCGCCATAACCATCATCAGCATGATCATCGGCATCGTCATCATCATCATCATCATCATCATCATCATCATCATCATCATCGGCATCGTCATCATCATCATCATCATCATCATCATCATCATCATCATCATCATCATCATCATCATCACCGTCATCCTCATCCTCACCACCACCACCATCATCATCAGCAGCAGCAGCATCATCATGACGATCCCTGGGGGCACCTTGGGCCAGGGGTACTTCTAGCAACACCCGACTCTCCGTCCCATGCGCTCCCCCTCGCCGGAGAGAACCGCAACACTTGCTCGGGCACAGCGCTCCCGCCAGGGAGGGGGGGGAGCCGATCCTCGAAGAGGGAAACGCAAAAAAAAAAAACGAAAAGCAGAAAAAAAGGCTAAAACCATACTCTTCCGAAGCTCCGCGCGGGCCTCTTGCATCTGCGCCTGGCCCCCCTTGCTCCCGGGTTCAAGCATGCGTCGGACCTCTGGGAAGTATTCGGCACCGTGCCTCCTCTCCGTGGATCGTCTTCCGCAGCCCTGGCCTCCTTGCTCCCGGTTCAAGCATGCGTCAGACCTCTGGGAAGTAGTCGGCACACCGTGCCTCCTCTACCGCGGACCGCCCTCCGCAGCCCCTGGCCCTCTCGCGAAGCGAGGGTCCAGCCGTCGGCCAGCGCGACGGGGCGCCCGCGAAGCGGCCGCAGGGCGGCGCCCCCCCCCCCACACACACACCCCACGGCCCCCCTGGGCGAGGGCAGGCCGGAGGTCGGGCAGGTCCCCCCACACAGGCGGGGGGCTCTGGACGAAAAAGCCAAACTATACCCCCCAAAGACGTCCCAGAGAATGCTCAAAATAGTCACAAAGAAATCGTTCCCAGACTATTTTTGGGGACTGTTTGGGAATGTTCCTCCTGCAGAGGACT